TTTATGATTTATATATATATATATATATATATATATTTAATCCGTCATAGTTGAGATTTCCACTTTTATTTGAGACCACATGTTGCAAAGGATATGATAAAAAAAAAAAAAAAACTTGTCGTAATGAAATACTAAAATCAATGGTTACATGAGAGAGTAACTTTTTATTATCAGACCATAATTTTTTATAAAACATTATAATGGATTAGTTGTTTAAAATTACATAGATTATTGATGTTGAGTTTAAATTTTGAGTGTGTGATTATATTAAGTATTAGGAGTTTTTTTTTTTTTTTTTTTTTTTTTTTTTTTTTGTCATTCATATGATTCTACCACATTTGAACATAATTACTTTCGAAGATATTTAATCTTGGTACAAATAGCAGTTTATGGATTGAATATGACAATATTAGGCTTGGGTAGATGAAATACATAATATATGGTACAAAGATCCAAGATGGGCTTATCTGCTTATATTTGTCCAGTAATCCAGATATGTTGGGAAATACCCATGAGGGACACCACAGAGCTAATGAGGAATACCAGAAATAACAATTTTACGTACATTTTTTTAACATAATTTTCGCTATTCACTATAATTTATTAGAAATTATAAAATGAATTATTGATAAAATTAATTAGAAATTATAAAATTAATATTTGAATCGTTAAACAAAAAATAAATTTACATTTTTTAATAATTTTTAATAAATTTTATCTAATACTTTATAATATATTTAAGGTTTAAATATTTGTCTAGCTTATGTAAAATGAGTTACATTTGATTTTGATTTATGTAAATTTGGTATTTTATCCTATTAATTTAAATTGACGGATAAACATAAAAATAATTTTTATATTGACTTGAATTAATATAATAAATTATTATATGATTTTTATTTTTTATTTTTAAGAATTTACAAGTTTGATTAATATATTAAGAATTTTTAATTTATCAATTAGATTATTAAAATTTGATGTTGAATGTAAATTATTAATTATAATAAATCTACCAAAATTTATTCTTAGAGTAAGTAATTTTCTCCTCTTGAAAGAATATATTGTTAACATTAATCTAACATGAAAACCTTAGCAAAATGGACATGAATAAGTCATGGATGGACAAATTTAAAAATTAGATATAAAAAATGTTTAATACATCATTTGATCCATGAAAATTTTATTTTTAATTAATAAAAATGTAATTAGGTCTTTCATAATTATCCAAAAAAAAAAATATTCATATGTATCAGAATTTAATCTCCACCCATAAAAATTCCCTTGTAATCTATCAAATATAATAATTTTGAAATAGTACAGAGAAAATTTTAAAAATATACATGAATGATAGCATGAAATAATAATTTAATATAATTGTCTAGATACAATGATATAACAATATTTTATAAAATTTTACACATTGTAATTTTTAAACGAATTAATAATTTAATGTAGTTGTCTAAGTAAAATGATATAACAATATTTCATAAAATTTTACACATTGTAAACGAATTTTTATCTCTAGAAATTAAATTACAAAAATAAAAATATTTTTTTTCATATTCGAGTTTTAGAATATACTTTAATGATATATTTGAGTTATACTACACTCAATTCTTTATATAAGAAACAAACGGTACTGTAAAATAAACTATTAGTTTGTTTCTTATAGAAAAGAGTAATGAAAGTATTTTGAGTTGTTCTAACTTGGTATTAATCTCCTATATTTCAAATTATTTTTTTATAATTATATATTAATAATAAAATTTCTTATTTTAATAGATAATATTCTATATAAACAATATTATATTAATAGTGTTATTGTTAAAGCCATGAATATTTCATATAAATATCATTGTTACCAAAAATCAAGTTTAATAGTGTGTTTGGAGCACTTCCTAAAATAAATACGAGTCTTTTAAAGAAAAGTGTCATATACACGTGCTTTTACCGAAAGATAAAATATACTAATGGTGTGTTTGGACGAGGAATTTTACAAATTTAAAGAATTTTAAATTTTTGGTATTTGAATTACTTTGATTTCAATTTCTATCATTCTTGAAATATTTTGTTTGGACAAGTCAATTGGGATAAGTCAATTCAAATTTCTCAAATTTTAAATTGTTGGGTTGGATATGATAATTTGATTCCAGCATGGTAAAATTGATTTTAAAAATATATTTATATGTTGAGATTTTTAAATCAAATTTTATAAAAATAAATATTAGCTAATTTTTAAATATTTAATAATTTTAAAAATTAATATTAGATAATATTTAATAATTTTAAAAATATTTTTGATTATTCAATAATTAAAAACATGAAGAAATAAGACATAAGATAAAATATATAAGTGAAATAAGAAGAAAAAAAAAATGAAGAATTTCAAATTCTTACTTTTTTGGGAGAATTTGAAATTATACTATTTCAAGAAATTTCACAAATGCTTGAATTTCAAATTCCTTGTAAATTCTCCATCTAAACAAGGTATTTTACCTCAAAAAATTTAATATTCTTCAAATAGATGAATTACTTTAGCCGATTAAATTAAAACAAATGATTTTATTAAAAAAACCTTTCAGCAAAGACATAAATAAATTTGTTCCATCCATTTTATGAAGACTCCTAATATTTGATGCAAGATAATCTTGGAAAGGAGTATTAGTCTGATTGTCCTGAAATTGAATTTAAAAAAATTAATTTCAAATTCTTAAATATTATTAGAAATTTTTTAATTGATCTTAATTAAACATTAAAATTTCTGGTACTGTTATGATGAGAAATTCGATATTAACTAATTTCCAAAATGGCACCGAAAATTGACTATAGTTATTGTCACGCTTTTATAATCATCAAAGCAGTATAATCGTATGATATTTGCTGATGTTATAAGAACTATTATTTTTAGAGAACATTAATTTCTCTTTTTTTTTTTTTTTTTTTTTTTTTTTTGCACTCAAAGCAGTATAATCGTGCTATTTTGTTACAAGTGACAACTGACATTAGCGACCCAAGTAAAATTTTGACATTACACCACCATATGAACTAAATCGTTATGTATGACAATATAATATGCAATAGCTTACATATCTATATAGAACTAATTAAATGTGCAAATACTATATATAAAAATGAAAGATAATGAAAATAAGCTATGCTGATACTGTTATGCTTGCTAGTTCCTTATAAGTTGTGGAGACTCATCTAATGTTACATAGAAACAGCCAACATTTTATTCCTTTCTTCTCTCTAAATCCATTACCAAGAGTATGTCTAGGATCATCCACTCTTGAATAAATTTGGAGAAATATTATAATAATCATGTAAGGTTGCATATTTGATTATTTAGTTGCTCTTGGACACATAACAGCAATTAATAGAATGGCTTAGTACAATCACATCAAGAGATGTTAACTTTAAAGCAACAACTTATCTCCGCTTATGGTTACTTTTTTAATACTTTTTAAAAAAGTAATAAAATGATTCATCGACCGTGTTAAAAGAAGTTCATTTAGACAATTACTTATAATTAAAAAGTATTAATAATCTCTCGTTCATAGATTAATCAATTCCCAAATTTAGAGAAATATTTCATTACCATTAGAGAAAAGTTAAAAATATTTCATTACCATTAGAGAAATGTTTTTTTTTTTTAAATCAAATTTGATACATTTATAACAACTCACACATGCTCAAATATGGGGATAAACCCCTTATACCATTAATTGAAAAAAGAATATGCACCATGTCAACTGCACAAGTGGTAAAATGTAAACTTCACAATTCACACATCAAATTTTATATATTATAATCAATTCACAAATTGAAAATTTAAAAGTGTTAAATTCATACTTAAAAAATGCAAATTTCATAATCTTTCTCTAAAATTCTACCTTCTTTTTTTCTGCTTTTAAAATTTGCATTTACAATAATTAACTTACCATGTCATTCACATTTAAGCATACATCAATACCAATATTCTACTTTCCTCTTAATTAGATAAAACTTCTTTCTTTGTTTCAACCGTGCCAGATCCTACTGCTGAGGCAGATGCTGGCCATAATTGTGCATTTTTCACCTTTGATATGCTAGCCAAGACACTCAAAGGAGTTACATCCCCAATTACTGTCACCTTCTTTGCTGCAAAATCTATGTTGAATGAAGTAACTCCTGCACTCACAATGAACAATTTTAAGACTGCATATTAGGGAAATTAACGGCTTTGAGAGTTATACGTAAAAAATGTTTGACTTTAGACACAAATTATAAGGTTACTCACCTTGCATTCTGGAGAGGTGTTTCCTCACCTTCCCTTCACAGCCTTTGCAATGCAAAGATACCCTCAATACAACAACCTGCTAAAAAACAAAATTACTCAAACCAATTGTTGAAATATTGAAGTTGATTTGCATAGTACTTTCCCTCTCAATGCCCCAATTCAATTTACTCCACAAGCTAGTCCTAGTTTTATTCATGAACCCTTCCATAAAACTAACAAGACTTTCTTATATCCATCTGATACACAAATGTTAGTTCGAACATGATTGATTTCCGTGTAGGATACCTGTGGTCTATAAAAAAAAAAATCTAATACACAAATGTTACTAGCTAGAAGCGTGAGGGGCCTTAACAGTCCTAAGGTTAAGAACTAGTAAGATTAGAAAACGAACCTGGTCTGAGGAACCAGATTTTGGATAAGAAGAGCTAGGAAGTTTAGGAACTGAAATGGCTTCATCTTGATGAACAACTTGAGAAGTTTTGTTGTTAACCGTAGTTAGTGCCAAATTTGGAACATAATCTGATGAGCCATCCACTATGGCCGTGTCACTGAGCAAAGATCTAGTTGAGCCAAGAGGAGTGATTGAATCAGAAGGTGGCATAAGCCAACTCCTACGCACAATGGCATCATTTGGTTTAGAAGCGTTGGTGACATGTTCAGTGAGCTTTTCTGAAGTACTTTTCTTCTTGTGATCATGACCCTTTGTTGCACTCTTGGAAGAAGAGTTTTTCTTGGCCTTGTGGAGCTCATGGTAAGGCTTGGGGTTGATGGGGGACTGAGAAGAGGAACATGGGGTAGTGAGAGATTTGGAAGAAGTGCTTCTTCTTGTTGAGTCATTGATAATGGGGTTGTGGCGGTCAATGGTTCTGCCTCCAAGTAGAATGGTGTTGGAAGAGGAGCATGAGGCTTGATCCATGCTGAGGCATATGGCTGTTGAGGCTTGGGAAGCACAAAAGATGTCCATGCGTTTCATCTTTTAGATAATGCTATCAGAGAACTAGTGGTTTAGAGAATCTGCTGCTAAGAAGGAGGGAGGGAGGGAGAGAGAACTTGTACACACAAAAAAGGGTTGGAATGGGAACTAATAGCTTTTAAGCTTATGTATATTGGGCTGAGATTAAGGGACTCAAACCTTGTGCAAGTGCAAGATTTATCCTACTTCAACAAAATATTTAAAAGTGAGAAAAAGAATATATATTTTTGAGTACCTAATATTGACCGGAATCAAATACTAATCCTCTACAGATACGAAGATTCTTTTAAGTGATTAATCACTTTCAACAAAGTTCTGATCCGAGGATCGAATTCTTAATTACATACTTACAAGTCATAATTAATTATCAACCATATTTTACTATGTTGGTAAAAGAATATATTGTACTACAGTTTGGTTAGATGACCCTTTTTTTTTACTTACATAAAAAAAGAAAGCTAAATTGGCTGACAAAAACATGAAAATAGGAGAAACTATTTGAATGTGGGATGGGGATATAGAAGGATAGTGTTAGCAATGAAATGGAAACTTGCATTAGTTTCTTTGTTTCAGTATTAAAGAAGATAGACAGGTTTAAATTTTTCAAAAAGCTCTATCAGTTTGGGGGAAATTTAAATGTAGCATTAAAATGTTATATCAGTTTGGAATGAGGCTCTATCTAGTATTTCTAACACCTAAGCAAATCGCTGGCACACAGTTTGCCGTGGGGACCTCATCATCACCTCAACCATAAATAACATACCCAAAACAAGATCTACATATTAAGGGTGCACACATATTTGTCTGTGGTTTTAGCATGGCAATAGGAAAGGTGCACGTGCATTAGAATGATATACCTCAAAAATTAATCAATGCAAAATTTGACAAGTTTGTAAGGGAAGGAAGAATGTCCTCAATGGCTATACCCTGATAGGTGTTTTTGTATCCTTTGAAGAGAGTGAGCTGTAGAGTGAAGGGGTGTCAATTTTGTGTTAAGATTCAACAAAACTTGATGATCCTTTATGAGATGCAACCAACATTTCTATTGCTTTAAAGAATGAAAATGATGTGTAATAGGTAGTACACTGAATTAAACTATCTCACTCACTCAAAAGCCCTTGCGAATCATGAACTCGTCCATTTTCTTTTGGCTAGAAGAGTAGTAAGGTAGATATAATTTCTGAAAAATGAAGTGATATTCTAAAAGTTAGTCTTTGAAAATTTTACATATTCATGTTTTGACAATTTTTTAATGAGAGTCAAATCTAATGTGATGCTCTGCAACGTCAAATATACAGTTCTGTAACTTCTGTTGAGTATCATGGGAGTTTGGATTCCAATTTTTCTGTGTTTTTGCGTGTTAGACGAGATTATCAATTAATGACTTGCCGAATACGTGTACTAATGTTGATTATTTATTCTTATCGTTTCCTTGGATGCCTAAATTGTTGTGATTTTACATTTACATAATACTATATGATAGCAGTGATTTCTCATGCTAATTAATCATTTTGTGTCTATAGTGAGACATGTACATGGGAGGTGCAGAACTATTTTGGATTGACGTGAAGACATTAATCTCCATGAAGGGTACATTGCCTAAGTGAAAAATAAAAAAAAATGTTGGCACGAATAACTATAGCAGTGTGAATAGAGCAAAGTTGTGTGGGTATGGCCTACGGGTTTAAATACTAACCAAGAAGCTGTCTATAACATAGTGAAGTTGGTCAGATGAAAACAAAGCAACGGCTAGAATTTGGCAGAGATTGATCATGTGCTAAGTTCACAGAAGAATTACCAATTTATGGTTTAAGAAGAATACCAACCAGTTGGACGCAGTGTACGAGGGCCCATGATGTACCGTATTATATCATATGAATTTTAGTACAGTCCAAAATGAATTGATTCTTGTGAACAATTATCAGGGGATCAACGAGGAAAGTTACTCACATTTGAAAATGAGCACTTGTAATTGAAAGAATGAAAAATACACATTTCTTCTTAGTTAAGGTGTACCACCAATTTAATAGGTATTCTCTTACATCTATGTGAAATTTCTTTTCTTGCTAGTTTGGGTAGTTAAGAAAGTTAGTCTTTTTTTAAAGAATCTAAGGTGACATTTGATATAGGATAACTTTTTTCTTTTTTTTAATGTTTGAAAATCATGATTTTTAACAATCATAAAAATCTATTTGATTGATAATAAATATTTTTAAAAATATTTATAAATATTGTTCTTCTTTAAACTCATATATAAGAAAAATATCTACATCCACACATATTAAAAAAATTTGTTAAATTTATTTAATTTATTGATTTCATATAAAAATTAAAGTTTATTTCCTAAACTATCCTTAATAGTATTTATTGAAAAATATTAATTACATTTAATTTGATCGTAATTTTTGGAATAATACATTAAATATGGTCAAATTACTTAGAATTTATTTATATTTAAATTCAAAAATTTTAGATACTTTTTTATTTATATATGAGTTCAGAAAGAGTATTTGACAATTAAGAATTTTTAAAACATTAAATAAGTAAAGGTTATTTATCACATTAAAGTTCTATTTTTTTTATCTAAGTAAAAATTAATTTCTCACCTCTTTATGAGAATAATTTTCTGAAAAATAATATTTTATAAAAATGTTATTTTTAAAATAATAAATTAAACGTAAGAAATTAATATGACGTTAGATTTATGAGAATTTTTTTTTTTTTTGTAACAATTACCTTATATGCTTCACATGGCGACTTTTTACACGGATAACTAATTAGAAATAATTTAAAATATATTTTTTAAATGGATGTAATGATTTTTATTAATTTTTTTTCCTTAAACTGAATTTGAAGTCGGAAAATTAGAAAAATATGAAACTTGCATAAACATTTAATGTGTGCTTGCAAATACATTTATTATTATTTTTTTTTGTTCTAATGGAAGAACTTGAATTTTTAATTCACATTATGTGGACTACAGAATGAACTCCACATTTTTATTTTATTTAAAACTACTTATTTGTTTAAGAAACAGTTCTTGAAAGTTCTTATATGAAAATATTCTTTCACATGACATTTACATCATCTTACTCCAATAATAAAATTTATGAGGATCGATTTTTATATTTAAGAATCATGTTAAAAATCCACCAGACATTCTAGAAAAAAGGCAATTCAAATAAAGCAACATCAAAAGTCAAAACAACATCAGACTTCAATTTGGAACAAGAGAAAGTGAGCATAACACATCAGAGATTCAGAGGAGAATGAAAAAATTTTAAATCTTAACTGTTCCATCGTTCGGTTGTTCATGAAAAATTGAAAATGGAAAGAAACTTATAAAAGTAGGTAGGTGTCATTAGATTTTGAAATCTTCTTTCTCTCATCCATTTTTAACTCTTTTTAAGTTAGCTCCGAAAATGCATGGAATCATATGCTTCCAAGCCTTTCTTCCTCTTATTTCTCTTGTAACTTCCCTTACCTACCCATCAATTATTTTTGAGAATTCTTTGATTGCGTACAGTTACAATTTATGACATCTACTACTCTCTTCTCTTTGTACCATTTTCTCTTCAGTTTCAGACCCATAATTCAACTTTTAATTAAGAAGCAGAGGTAGAGGGGTCCCCCTCTCTACTTCTCTACTGTGATGAAGCCAGCTGTTCAATGTTTACTTCTCTGTTCCTCTTATGCTTCTTGAACAACATCATCAAGCACCAAACAATAGCTAATGCAATTTTCCTCGCCATAGGTTCTGTTCTATCTCATAGCAAATATTATGAAATTTTGAATTCTTGTCGAGAGACCTGGGGTAGGAATTAAAATGCCATTTATAGTCTCACTAACTACAACAATGTAGAAACTTAGTATGTACTTTACTACTATTATGTTCCACCTCTATATTCATTGTATGTAACGTAACAATAACATGATGGCTTTGATGGAAAATAATGGGAAAGTTAATATGCATAGCATTCTGACACAAAAGTAATGTTACTAACCCAGTAGTGGTGGTATAGCAGTGATAGTGGCATGAGGAGAATGTTCCCGATGTGGTTGGGTTTCCTTTTCAAATATGATCCCGGAGAACACCATATATGTTTTTTCTTTTCAAATTTTGCTAGCACAGTAGTATAATGTAACAATTTTCTTTTTGTTGAAATCCTACAACTTTCTTTGAACAGAACTTGTATAATAACTAGAATTATTTAATGACTTGTAGAATCAGACCTAAGACCCAAAATGTGTGTTTGTGTGTGAATATAATCTAATTTAAAGATTGCGTCTATGAAATGAGTAACAGTATCATAAACATATATAATTTTTTTTTCATTGAACCGGACCATCAAAGGTGGAGAATACAAACTAGTCATTGAATTAATCTACATACTAATTCAAAATTTAATGATTGAATTGTAATGAAATCAATATTAATAAAATAATAATAATTATTATTATCAATACAAAATAATATCAAATAAATATAATATTATAATTTTATGATACTAAAAATTAAAATAAAATATTATTTATAAATTCTTAACACTTAAAGTAATATAATATTTAAGTTCTAAACTAAATATTTAAGTTTAAATTTTAATAAAATATTACAATATTCATTGATAATCACAAGTTTATATTTAGAATAAAATATAAAATTAATATAATATAAATTATAAAATAAAAATATTAAAAATTAATATAAATAATTAAATTATATTTATAAGACACGTATTAAAAAAAATTCTAGTTTATATTTTTTAAGATATGTACTTTTATTAAAAATACTTAAAATTAAATTTTAAAAAATTAATTATAGTGATTCGAGCTAGTTTAATCGATTTTGGACTAATTCATTGCAAAATGATTTTTAAGACCAATTAAATTGGTTAAAGACTGATTTTCTGTTAAACCGGTCCAAGCAACAAGTTTAGTCTGATTTTCAAAATCATGTCCTAACCTAATTAATGTTAGATAAAGAAATAAAAATAAATAAATTTAAATGAACTTTTAAAGTAAAATTATCAATAACTTCTATTATATTTTTGAAAATCTTATTTAAAATTTTAACCTTAAATGTCTTTTAAGCCATAAAAATATATCCATTTGAGATATTCACCTTTTCATTTTAATATATATAAAAAACTTGGTCATAAATACTTTTTCATATATAAATTCAAACATGTAATAAATTATTACTTCTCTTGCAAACATATTTTAGATTATAAGACCATTGAGTAAAATTATTAGAAAAATTGGTTTAATAGTGTTCCAGTATGCCTAAAAGTCCCACATCACTTAGGAGTCGAGGCTAAAGGTAGTTTATAAACACCCTTTCTCCTTAACCCACCGAGGCGCCTTTTCAAGGACAAAACCGTGACAGCCCAACGAGCGCCAAAGCGAATAATACCTCGGATGCAGTGACCCTAACGATAACGGCGGACTTACGGTAGAAACATTGACGCTAGAAGGAGGGCCCAGGCCACTCTTGCCCCTTAGCATCGACTAGGGAGCTTGTTCCGGTATGCCTAAAAGTCTCACATCGCTTAGGAGTCGAGGCTAAGGGTAGTTTATAAACATCCTTCCTCCATAACCCACCGAAGCGCCTTTTCAAGGACAAAACCGTGACGGCCCAACGAGCGCCAAAGCGGACAATACCTCGGATGCGGTGATCCTAACGATGACAACATACTTACGAACAAATAGTTTTATAAATATCTACTTATATAAGTTAACAAACTTATAAAAGCATTAAAAATGATCAAATGTAATTCAGATAATAAGGCTATTAAAAAATAAATCAAGTTTGCTAACCATTACTTCAGATCAATGGTTATTAAATTAAAAAGTCTAATAGTTAATATTATCAATACACACCTACTGTGACTTCTGATAAAAACTTCGTATTTATTGAATCCACTCTCCTTATGATCGATGTCAAGCAAAATCCAAAATAAATTAATACAAAATTTCACAAACATCCAATTATACAAATATGATTAATATGATAATTTAAAAAACAAAATTACATGTACACATGACAAAAGCATCGATTGTGTGCTTACATTTGTCAATATTTTTAAATAAAATATTTTTTTAATTTATTATTTTAAATTTTGAAACATTCGGAGGAAGTTTCGGTAAAAAGATTTCGGAGGATATATTATTTCTGTTGTGTGCTAAGCAAGCATAAATGATTAAATGCATTACTGGTAAAGGATTAATTGTCCTGACAGTAGAAAGTTTGGCAAAATATGATCCCGTGTGATTTAAAAAATAAAAAAAGTGTTAACATCAATTTTTAGTATTGATTTAGCAATGAATTCAAACATCTAAAAGTAAATCGGTCTGTCAGTTTTACAAGATGAAGCAGTATTAACAGCAAAAAAATAATAATAATAATAATTCAATATTCTTCATGATACCAGAATCCAAATATCAAATACTACAACTTTTATGAATACGATACACAAGAAAACTACTGAAAATAATTCTTTCAAAATTTAACAAATACATCAATTGTGTGCTAAGCAAGCATAAAAGATTAAAAATGTAAAAGGCTAGTAGACTTTCAAAAAGTGGCGGGTTACCAGAATTTTGTGTTGACGCTGACGGCAGATGGGAACAAAAAATGAGGGAGACAGGCTCATATCCATATACATACAGGGTTTGCTATTATGTTTATTACATTCCTTTTCCTTCCTCTTCATTCAGAATCCGATTCCGGAAATCGTTAACCATTAGAGGCAACCCTTCTCTCAGTGGGACTTTTGGCTCCCAGTTCAGCAGTTCCTTTGCTTTACTAATATCTGGCTTCCTCATATGTGGATCATCAGCGGTATTTGGTCTATATTCTATCGTAGCACTTGAATCAATTGTTTCTTTGACTACCTGCGTATTTATGAAAAGATGACAATGACAGGATATCCACAATACAGTAACTTTGATCTCATTCCACTCCTTAAAAATGTGCCCTTACTATGAAAGGCACAACTAATATGCATATCTTAGGGTATTAATTAAGAAATGAATAAAAATAAAATACACATGTCCTAGCATAAGCAGGCAGAAATGTTATAAGGAAAAGGCAAAACTGTAAACCAAAACAAGGAAGAAATGAAAGTGACAGTAGAAAAGAAGATTAAGATACCTGAGCAAGCTCTAACATGGTAAACTCCCCTGGGTTACCCAGGTTGAAAGGTCCCACATGTTCGCCTTCCATCAAAGCCACCAGCCCATTAACCTGTGAATTGGAAAAGAAATTTAGTTCACCATTGCATCATAACAATTCTGCATCAATTCATATCAAAATGTAGAGATAACAAATCCTTCATTCATAAATTTGAACTTCAATTCAAAATATTTCCATTTTAAATTAACAGCAAAAAAAACCTACAATAGGTCAGTCGAATTGCAAATAATGATCAATAATTTCATTTAACCTTCCAAAACAGCTGTTTCTCTTTGCTTTTTGGTAGTCTTTGCATTAAGTATTCTCTTAAGAATCGCAGTAACTCTCTAAAAGTCCATTTCCATTTGAATGTTACTGGATTTCACCCAAGAAAATATTCTCCTAAGAAAATTAGGTTGAACAAGCTAGTCGAGTGTATTAGAAAACATGTAGTTACTTTTTTAAGCTACAATTTTCAAAGCTCCTCCTCCCATCCCCACTCCCTAAATAAATAAAAAAGAACTAAAAAGGACATATTTGCTATATACCAAATCAGAGACATATTGGAAACTTCTTGTTTGCTTCCCATCACCATATACAGTCAATGGTTGTTTACGAATAGCCTGGAAACACAAATAAATAGTATAAGAACACAAAAACCCTCTCTACAATAATAACGATAGAAATAAGGACAAGAAAGTCAGACCTGTGCAACAAAATTGCTGACGACACGCCCATCATCCAAACACATGCGGGGTCCATATGTGTTGAAAATTCGAGCAATACGAACCTATAAACCACCAAAGCAGAGCAGTCTCAATAACATATAATTTGCAGAATTTACCATACGTAGTTTAAATTTCACTTATGTACAATTAAATATTAATTTTTCTGTATGAAGAATTTGTTATGCATAGAACCATACATTGAATTGGAAGTCTTTCAAATCCAACATATACAAGTGATCAATCTTAATGGTTTCATTAAGGAATATGCATTGCCAGAACCAAATTTTCTGAGTCTATTCTATTATGGCCTAAACCCTTACTTGCTTAATCTTAGGAAACTTGTGTAGTGAAGTAAACAATCAAACAAATAAATAGCTAATAATATATCCATATTTGTGCTATGGTTATCGATCCCAAATAACAGCACAATGCAACCGATCCCAAAACCCCTATAGCAGGACAACAAATTGTACGATGGCCGCTATTTTGAAGATTATAAATACAGGATAAATAATTTATCATCTATACCATACACATAATTGCTTAAAATAGAAAACTATCCAAAATTCAAGTTATATTCATAATTAATAGTCAAGAGTAATGCTCTTTGTACAACAAAGTTTGACAACAATTTATACACAGCGAGATATAGGAAGAGAATGCAGACAAGTGCAGGAAAAGTAAGTGATGTGTAGTGGAGAGAGAGAGAGAGAGAGAGGTGAGTGTATAGAAAAGAATTATTGTTGGAATAATATTACTCTAATAAAAAATCCATAGTCTAACACATTCACAATTAACTTAAGCTATAACTATAAATGAGAGGAATAAAGAACACAGGGAAAAAAGAAGGAAATAATGGAATTTATAGAAAGAAAAAAAAGAGGGCTGTGATAGAAAAATAAGTGGAATGAGAGGAACTATTAAGTATGAACAAACATACTAAATGTAAAAACAAAGACATCTCTATATGTCATAGTTCTGTTGCTGCAGTGAAAAAAGACCTGTTATCTCTACTCTGTTTTTTGAACCGCAAAACAGAGGACGGAGATGAGTTTGGGAAAAAAAGGGGTTGGTTGGCCAGGATTTCTGTGCGTTTGGCAGAAAAATGGAAGGTTTAGGGGTGCTATTCTCCACTATTTTGCCACTATTTAGCTGCAATCTTGGCCTCTATTTGTGCAATGCAAAAATGCTATACTAAGGCTGCTGCAGTCAGCAACAGCACTTTATTGGTGTTATTTGCTACTATTGAAAAGTGTAGTAAATACCAAATTCAGATTCTTACTTAACACCAACTCATCCTTTAGGAAAACTTCTTTTCCTCTCTCTTGGAGGTTGGTGTTATTTCCATCATGATATAAAATTATAAATGTTTTTGACCTACCCACATTCTCAACAAAGAAAAAAATCAATCCACTCATTTATTGTAAAAACTTATTAAACCAATTACTATATGTGCAAACATTACCGGTTTGATCCCAGCTGTCTCTAACTGTCTTACATTGACCGATGACCATTAACTTCCCTTGTGCATTCTTAATTCAATCCCTATCCATGTAGAACATTCTTAATTCTTATTCGAGACTGAATTAAGAATGCACTACACATATAAGAATCAAATTAATGATGTACTCCATGTATAGGAACCAAATCAGGAATTCCTAAGAGATTAACAGTCAATGAAGGACCATTGGAGACAGAGTCATGATGATGGCAGAAACCAAATAGGTAAAATTCGCACATACAGGAATCCATTGAATAAGTTTTTACATATAGAAACCAAATTGAGAATCCACAATACATACAAGAACTAAATCACATGTTCAGCCTAAAAAACAACATCTGCAAAATGACATGTATTCCTGTTCTCAAGTTTAAACAACAGATACAACACAAAGCAAAATGCATAAAATGACCAAGTATCAAAACGGTACAATACAACAACATTACACTAACCTTTTGATCTAACAACATAAAAATACATCAAGTAAGCTAAACTAACTAGCTCTGATCAATTCAACGAATACACAACCTACCTCGACGCCAGCACCACGATGATAATCCATTGCCAAGGTTTCCGCAGTCCGCTTCCCTTCATCGTAACAGCTCCTCTCACCTAAAATTCCAAACCAGAAATTCAAGAAAACCGAACAACGAAAAATAGAAATGGCGATAAAACTATGCTTCATTGACTGTACTCACCAATCGGATTCACATTTCCCCAGTAGGTCTCTTTCTGAGGATGCTCCAGAGGATCACCGTATACCTCACTGGTACTAGTAAGCAAAAACCTAGCCCCAATCCGCTTCGCAAGGCCAAGCATATTAAGCGTTCCCATCACATTCGTCTTGTAAACCAAAATTAAGGATCGCAAAAATTGAAACGAAACGAAACGAAAGAGAGTTGAAAATGCGAGTTAGTAAGAAGGATATGATTGTCTTGACAGGGTTGTACTTGTAGTGCACCGGCGACGCGGGACACGCGAGGTGGTAGATCTGATCGACCTCGAGAAGAATCGGTTCAACGACGTCGTGGCGAATGAGCTCGAACCTAGGGTTCCCGAAGAGGTGCACGAGGTTGTTCTTCCTCCCGGTGAAGAAATTGTCAATGACGATGACGTCGTCGCCGCGCGCGATGAGCTTGTCGACGAGGTGGCTGCCGACGAAGCCGGCCCCGCCGGTGACGACGATCCGGAGGCGGCGGCCTGCGATCCCGACGGGGACGCGGCCCGTGCGGGGAACGGTGGCGAAGCGGCCCAGGCCCGTGGATCTCGGGAGGAAAGTACTGGCCTCGGGTGGGCCCATGCGGGAGAGCGTGGGCTGGATGATGAAAAAGGTGGAGCCGATGAGGATCCCCACCAGGATGAACAACAGCCTCTGCTCTCTCAGCAAGTAGTTGATGGATCTCGGCAGCGATCTCGTGTGCTTTATCGATTTGGGGGAGTACGGTGAGCTCTCGCTGCTCCCCATCTCTTCCTCCCTTCGGTGATTCAGACTCGTTTGCTTGTGAAGCTGTTTCATCCTCAGCTTTAGTACTTCCAACCAAACGCAACCCTCGTTTTGGCCTTTTTTCACTACCCAACGGGCTTTTTTTATTTTTTATTTTGATGGTGGTGATTCTTATTGTTATTCTTGTTATATGGGAAATGAAACACCGCTCAAAAGAAAGCGTGGAATTGAAGGTACTCCTGCCCCTCCCATGGTTCCCACTTTTTCTATCTATACGTGAATGACTCTCTGGCCATCATTTTTTTTCTTACATTTTTAAATTAAGCTTCTTGATTAGTGACTTATAATCCATTCACTCGTGTATTATTATCAATTATCAATTATCAATTATCAATTATCAATTATCATTAAGCGATACAACTCAATAATTATAATCTATTATTCAATGACACGACACCATATATTTTACTTCATGTTTAATTCAATAAAAATAAATATTACTTAATGTTTATTACAGTTACATTTGTAGAAATATTCCTCACATAAATAAAATGCTCTAAACGTTAACGTTCCTAACCTTTGTGGAAATATATTTTAATATGCACACTACTCAACAACTTTTTGAGTTTTTTAAATTTATTTTATGATGAATAAAAATATTTAACTTTCTTGAAGGACTCATAAATTATATTTTTTAAAAATTAAATTAAATTATCAAAAATAAATTAGTCTTTCAAAATTAAAACAATTACGTCAAAAACACTGTTTAATTTAAAAGATTATTACTGGGTCAGTAATCGATATATATATGTTAGGCCCAAAAATGGAGCCCATAAACCTACTAGGGTACCCAACCCGGGCTAGCCCACTAGCCATCCATATTCCATATGAAAAAAAACGAAAAGGGAACCCAATCCTCGTATATAAGGTATCATCGTTTAACATTGTGCCTCCGATTTTAGGGTTTCGGAGTCGTTGCAGCGCTGCGCATCAATCCGAACAATGGGTAAGAGAAGCAAACTCATCGTAACGTAGATTAAAAACTGTGGCATTTTTTAACGTGTGATCTGAATCCAAATTTTGAACACATTGAAGCGAGGATAAAGGTGTACGAGCTGAGGAACAAGACTAAGGCGGAGCTGCTGAACAC